GGAGAGCTGCAGGACTGAGAACTGCCGGGCTGAGAGGTGCAGGGCTGAGAGCTGTGATCTGAACAATGTGGGGATGAGAGCTGTGGGGCTGAGTGCTATGGGTCTGAGAACTGCGGGGCTGAGTGCTGCGGGGCTGAGAGCTGTGGGGCTGAGAACTGCAGGACGGAGAGCTGCAGGACTGAGAACTGCCGGGCTGAGCTGCAGGGCTGAGAGCTGTGATCTGAACAATGTGGGGATGAGAGCTGTGGGGCTGAGTGCTATGGGTCTGAGAACTGCGGGGCTGAGTGCTGCGGGGCTGAGAACTGTGGGGCTGAGAACTGCAGGACGGAGAGCTGCAGGACTGAGAACTGCCGGGCTGAGAGCTGCAGGGCTGAGAGCTGTGATCTGAACAATGTGGGGATGAGAGCTGTGGGGCTGAGTGCTATGGGTCTGAGAACTGCGGGGCTGAGAGCTGTGGGGCTGAGTGCTGCGGGGCTGAGAACTGCAGGACGGAGAGCTGCAGGACTGAGAACTGCAGGGCTGAGTGCTGCAGGGCTGAAAGCTGTGGGGCTGAGAACTACAGGATTGAGAACTAGCAGGACTGAGAGCTGCGGGGCTGAGAGCTGCGAGACTGAGAGCTGCGGGACTGAGAACTGTGATCTGAACAATGTGGGGCTGAGAGCTGTGGGGCTGAGATCTGTGGGGCTGAGAGCCGTGGACTGAGTGCTATGAGACTGAGAACTGCGGGGCTGAGTGCTGCGGGGCTGAGAGCTGTGGGGCTGAGAACTGCAGGACTGAGAGCTGCGGGGCTGAGAGCTGCGGGGCTGAGAGCTGCGGGGCTGAGAGTTGTGGGGCTGAGTGCTATGGGGCTGAGAGCTGTGGGGCTGAGAGCTGCAGGGCTGAGAGCTGTGGGACTGAGTGCTATGGGGCTGAGAACTGCGGGGCTGAGAACTGCAGGACTGAGAGCTGTGGGGCTGAGTGCTGCAGGGCTGAGAGCTGCAGGACTGAGAGCTGCGGGGCTGAGAGCTGTGGGGCTGAGAGCTGCAGGACTGAGAGCTGTGGGGCTGAGAGCTGCGGGGCTGAGAGCCGTGGGACTGAGAGCTGCAGGGCTGAGAGCTGCGGGGCTGAGCTGAGAGGCTGAGAGTTGCATGGCTGAGAGCTGTGGGGCTGAGTGCTGAGGGGCTGAGAACTGCAGGACTGAGAGCTGTGGGACCGAGTGATGTGGGGCTGAGAGCTGCGGGGCTGAAAGCTGTGGGGCTGAGTGCTGCAGGTTCAAGTGCTGCAGGACTGAGGCTCTGGAGCAAGTGCTGCAAGGCTGAGTGTTTGCAGGGCTGAGCACTGCGCCGTTGAGCTTTGAGGGAGTGAGTGCTGAGGGGCTGAGCGTAGCAGGGCTGTGTCGTGGGCTCGACCTCGGAGGGGTCTGAGAGATGTGAGATCAAGCGCTGTGGGGCTGAGTGCTGTGGGGTCGAGCACTGTGGGGCTGAGCGCTGTGGGGCTGAACGCTGTCGGGCTGAGGGCTGTGGAGCTGAGAACTGTAGGGCTGAGCGTCGTGGGGCTGAGTGCTGTGGGGCCAAGTGCCGTCAGGGTGCAGGGCCATGATCACCCCCTGCAGCACAGCACCCTTCCTGAGCCACCTCAGCTGTAACTGCAGCGTCCCTTTTTTTTCCATTATCTCCGTTACTGCCCGTAATGGGGCTGAGAAGCTGTAATGAAACCGCCCCTCTCCTCCGCTGGGCACGGGGCACTCTGCACACTCTGGAGGTTGTGGCAATTAACATTTCTCATTAGGGAAAGGAGAAGGATGCACAAGCGCCCTTATTGTGTCCCAGGGACGATTCAATGCCGGCCGGGAGGCCTTTGCTTTCACCATTTCCCACTCGTTGTGGCCAGACAAAGGCTGGCTTCTAATTATATTTTCACAATCTGTGCATATCTTTAAGAGCCCTGTCAGGAGCAAGCATGTCAGCTCCGCTCAGCTTCACTTCAGGGAGCTCTTTCACCTCAGACAGCAGTTCCTAAGCATCCCTCCGCAGCCTCCTTTGCAGCAGAGTCCCGTCGTTCCCCCCCCCCCTCCGACCCCCCCATGCCCCTTGGTGTCCACAGAGTGGGTGCAGCTAATCACTGGGATCCTTCTGTTTCGGAAGCTCTTGCTCATGTGCATCACCTGGATGGAATACCTCCTGCAGTACTTGTTGCTTGCGGTCAGCAAGCAGCACCCCTTGGTCTGGGGGTGCTCCTCGGGTCCGGGGGTGCTCCCTGGGGTCCAGGGATGCTCGCCCACCTTTTGACACCATCCCCCTGCCCGCCTGCATCCCGCTGCCTCCCGCATCCCGCACGGCCGCCAGGAGGACCCGCGGAGTTCTGCTCGGCACGGCGGAGCATTGCGGACTCCCGTTCGCTTCTCTTCAAGCTCTTTATCCAAAACCTGCAGGCGAAAGACGGCGTGCCTCGCCGGGCTGTGGCGACGGGACTCTTCCGCGGACGTACGGAGCAGTTCCTTTGTCACCTGCGGTCCGCCTGAACCCTGCGCCGGATTATCGGCCCCTGTGTGCAGCCGCGTCCTCCGAGGAAAGTGACGGTGTTAGCACTTCAGCCCCCCTGAACGTGGAAAGGTAAATGTTTTCGGAGCCAATAAAGGGCTGAGCACAAACGCACCCGCACCCCGCCTGGTTTTCTGTCTTCCTGCGCTTTCCGACTGTCCCGTTCCATTTTAAAATCCCGTTTGTTCCGTTTGTTGTAAATATCTTCTCCTCCTTAATTGGGTGCTGAGTCTAATAATCCTGCCTCGGCTTGTTAACTGTACAATAGCAGTCAGAGTTAATGACCCATTAGTGATTAATTCCTTAACCAGCATCTAATTGCTCACTGTAAAACCTTTTCTTAAAACTGGATTAAATCATCTAGATCCTTAACCACTTCTTTGCTCTGACTGCGCTAAGGCTCTTAGCGCGGCCATTTCTGCCGGAGCTCTTTCTCCTTTTGCTTCAATTCCATCAGCAGGACGGCGCTGCCAGCCCCTGCTGCCGACCCCTGCGGCTACCCAGAGCTCCGAGGAAAAGTCGCACCCATAAAACAGCTGTAAATGGAGCTATCGAAAGATGCAGCCCCTTGTGATGGTGCTGGGTTCAGGCAGGAGGGCGCGCTGGGTGCTGGCTGTGCTGGGGGCACTGTGCTGGGATCCCGGCTGAGCTGTGCCCATTCCATCTATGGGGGGAGGGCAGGCACAGGACCTGGGGACCAAACCCACCTCTGCGTTTGTTTCGTCCCCCAAAATAAAGCCTTTTGGGCTATGCGGGAGCTCGTGTCACCTGCCTGCACGTGTGGGGGGACAGAAACCAGAAGCTGGGGAGGATTAGAGTGGGGCTGCTGCCATCCTGACAGCACTGCTGGGCTTTCTGGTAGAACAAACATCGTGCCTTCTCTATTTTGCTAATGTGTGATGTGAATGTTGGCCGACACGTCAGCCCTTTGGCATACGAAGTTCCTGCCGCACTAAGAACGGTGAAGTAAAGCCCTGAAATGTTTGGTCCTGTGTAGAAAAGAGGTTAAAATGATCAGGTCAGGGCAGTTACGGGAGAACAGTGATGGGCAGCAGGGATTTGGATGGCCTTAGGAGGAGGCAGAGCTGCAGCTCGGGCTGCTGGTATGGGAGGGAGCACAGGGAGCACAGAGGATGCAGCACGGCCTGCATGGTGGGCAGCCCCAGATCTTCGGGGCCTTGTGGTCCTGCAGCCACACAGCTGCCGTGGGCGCACCTCTGCTTTTTCCCTCCCTGTCGCATCACCACCAGTGCCATCCTACAGGCAGTAGAAACTGAGCGCACCCTCAGCAGTTTGTGGATGACACCAAGGCTTTTGTGCTTTTGGCAGGCCCAAGGGTGACAGGATGCCACCCAGAGAGACCTGGACAGGCTGAGCGGTGCCTGTGAGAGGTTCTACAAAGCCAAACGCAAGGAGTGCACCTGGGCTGTGGCAACCTGCACCCTCAGTACAAGCTGGGGGATGCAAGGATGGAGCACAGCCCTGCCGAAAAGGACGCGAGGCGCTGCTGGACGGCAGCTGGGTACGAGCCAGCAGTGTCACCTCACAGCCCAGAAAGCCAACCGTGTCCCGGGCTGCATCCGCAGCAGCGTGGCCGGCAGGGCGAGGGGGGGATGCGCCCCTCTGCTCCGAGCTGTGAGACCTCACCTGGAGTGCCGTGTCCAGATGGGGAGTGCTCAGCGCAGGAGGGACGTGGGCCTGACAGAGCGCATCCAGAGGAGGGCTGCAGAAGTGGTGCCAGGGATGGAACAGCTCCCCTGTGAGGACAGGCTGAGAGCAGGGAGGAGAGAAGGCTCCAGGGAGACCTGAGAGCAGCCTGTGAGTGTCTAAAAGGGAGCTGCAGGAAAGAAGGGGGCAGACGCTTCAGCAGGGTCTGTGGCGATAGAACAAGGGGAAATGGCTTCAAGCTTAAAGAGTGGAGATTTAGGTCGAAAAAGTCGTTCACATTGAGGGCGGTGAGGAACCTGAGTGCCCAGAAAGGTGGTGGTGCCCCATCCCAAGGTCATGCTGGATGGGGCACTGAGCACCTGATGGAGCTGTGGGTGCTCCTGTGCACCGCAGGCAGTGGGACCTACTGGTCCCTTCCAACTGTTAGGAACCAATGATCCTAAATGGGGGAAGAGAACCCCATCCTCCAGGAGGGAAAAAACTGAAGGAGGAGGGCGGGAAGGACTAACCAGCTGGGAAAGGACTGGGAAAACAGGCGGACTCCCCTCATCGCCCCGCGCCTCCCACCGCACCGCTCCGCACCGCCCCGGATCTGCGGTGCTGCGGCGCCCCCTGGCGGCCGCGTCGGGCACAGCGGGAGAGCAGCCGCGGCTCCTTCCATCAGCGCCATCCGCTGCAGCGCCGGGACGCCGCGCGGTGTCCGACCGGAGCGGGCGGGTGTAATTCGTTGTAAGAACCCTTCCGTGAGCATTGCGGCTGTCACAGCCGCTCGAGGGAGAAAGGGCAGCGTCGGAAATGAAGTAGGGAGCGTGGTCTTTGCCGAAACATACAAGAATACGTGTATTTAGGTCTCTTACACAACGGAAATCTTGTTTACAGAAAGGAAACCTTGCTGATTATCTGATAACAATCAAGTGGTTGTGAAACATAGTCTCTTATGGAAAGTGTTCCAATTCTTCGGGTTTAGAGACTTCCTTTCAGCTCGGAGTGCTCTCCTTCATATTCACAACTTGGAGCAAATTCTCCATCATCTGATAAAAAGAGAAAAAATGGCATTTACAGAGCAGGCCTGGCAGAAGTCACTCTCTAAGCTCATCAGCCTCATACACAGCTGCCTCGTGTGCTCACATAACAAACACAAAAAGACATCCTTTGTCTTGATCAGCTTAATGGCCAATCAGCAAAGTAAGAGGAAAGTCATTTCCCAGAGCATTCTGTCTGCTATCTCGGTTGATATAACGCCTCATTACTGCTAAAAAGCCGAGACACAGGAACAGTTTAGAGCTTATTGTCCGACTTATACCAAGGCCAGCTTGCAGGACAGATTTCCTTTCCGATCTTTAAACACTTCAACTGCAATTTATCCATGGAATAAAGAGCAGCAAAGTCTTCCTTCAGCCCACAGCTGCCTTAAGACAGAAGGATGGAACTCAGGCACTCCACCCGCCGCTGAATTCCCACAACTGTGATGCTCAGTTCTCTCCCATTTTGACTGTCTGTTTTGATACTGATCCCATTCGGTCTTTCCGAATTTTATTATTATTATTGTTGTTGTTGTTGTTGTTGTTGTTGTTGAGAACTGAATGGCACAGCATGAGCACTGATGGTGGATAATGCTCAGAACAAATCAGAGCTTGCACCCAAGGCTCTGAGCCGAGTTACTTGAAGGGCAGACCTGAATTTACTGCTGCAGCTTTTGACTTCAGGGTCAGTAACTTCCAATCTATGATTTTAAATTCAAAAACTGCACTGAAATTTGACAGGCTCCATGGAACAGAGCCCTTCCCAGCAGCGCCTGCCTTCAATGATGCTCGGTGGAGAGACACAGCAGCTCCCCGTGCTCAGCACCACAGCACTGCTCCCTGCCTGCAGCTCCCTGGTCACTCTTTGGTCCCAGGGCAGGTAATGCATCGCTGCACAGCACACAAATCACTCTTGCTCACACTTCAGTACCTCCACCCAAAGGGCAGTTTCACAGCGAACCAATTCCGAACACGGGATCTGCTGCCTCTCACAGTCAGTTTCTTTTTCAAACACACTGTGGCTGGAAAAGCACAACGGCACCGAGGGCCAACTGCAAACATCCCATAGCCACTGCCCCATCACCATTTGCTCAGCCACCTGATGCCCAGCCACCGTCCCCATACACAGGCAACTCCACTGAGCATGCACAGGAAGCGTGTGGGCCAAGTGCAAGATGGAAGCCCTCAGACCCAGAGAGTATACAAAATATGTGTGTTTAGGTATCAACACTACATCCACAGAACAGAAATCCAGAGGTCGTGTCAGCTCTCATGTCGCCGTGTACACGTGAGGCTGAATTTCCTATGCACCTGAATTTGCCCCTGCAAATAAACACTGCCTCGTCGGGAAAGAAAAATAACAGCAATCGTTATTTAAACATCTGGGAAAGGATCACAAGTTCACCAAGCCTGGAAAAGGCGTCTGAGACCATCCAGTCCAACACCCACCTCCTGCCAGCATTTCCCACTACAACACATCCCCCAGGACAGCATCTGAGCACACAGCCCTCCTGCATCAAAGCAAGTCGCTTTTGGTCTTCAGACCTCCTGCACCCGGAAGGCAGAAGGTCTGTGTTGGGTTGTTGGATGCTGGGGTTTTGCTTTTGGAGCCTGGTGGAAGAACAGTGCATTCTGTCCTCTCCAGGCTGCATGCAATCGGCTGTTTGCATCCAGCAAGAGGAGAGCAGGGGGTAGGCGCCCCTTTCATGGTGCAGGGGAGAGACAAAGCAACTTTGCATGCTGGAAATGAAAGGTTCTGTGGCAAAACGAGGCTCTGCTGATGTCACGTATCACGGTTGCATAGGAGACGTGATTTATTTTGCCACTCGTTTGATAATTCTGGAGATTTAAGGCAATGTTATTCCACGTATTTGTTATTACCCCATTATTTATTCCATAAATACGTTCAATGTCTGACCCCCCCCCCCCCCAAAAAAAAAGTGGATATTAATTCAGAGCAAAAGCACACAGATGTGAATAGAATTCAATAAGGGCAACATCTGGCCATTCAAATACGATTTATTACCAAATGCTTTTAGAAGTAAAAATATTTCCCTCTCCATATAACATAATGGAGTTTGTCTAACTGGATTACAGAGCTGCACGCTGCAGAACTGAGGAAGAGACAAATAGCTTTCCCTTTATAGACCATATCAATCACAGTTATTTTAAACATCGCTGTCATAAAGCCACAGCCAGAAACAAACACACGGGCAGCATTCACATCAGTGCTCTAAGAGACTTAAATCACAGCTTAATTGAATGAGTAAATCCTTATTCAAGTCAGCAGCAATGATTTCACTGCACTGGGAATTCAGGAGGGCAGAGTTACCTCTACAGGAATACGCACTGCTGGAGAATGGGTAGAAAAACCCTTCTCATCAGTGCCTCTAAAAGCACGTGTCACTCTTTCTATACCGTATCAATGCTGCCCAAAAAGAGATGTGCAGCTCCATCACCATCCTGGAACCCGATGCTTTGCAGAGAAAGGAGTCATACTGTAAGTTCTGCAGTGCACACAGCAAGCCTTCCTTTGGACCTCGATTACCTTCTGTTAAACATCCTTCCAAGTACATTTCACGGGGTTTCCCAAAGGAATGGGGGTGAATCTGTACCAAAGCCACACCTCATGAACTGGCGCTCATAGGTACCGTTTCTTAAGGGAAGGAGAGGTTGGATTAAGGACGGCAATCGTTAAAGCTCGCCTGCAGGCAGAGATTGATTCCGTGGGACCAAACACGACCACAGCAGTGGTCAGCATCATCAGGCAGACACACTGATGCCTGGGGAAGGGATTTGGGTGTGCTGAAAGCAGAGCTGGGAGCAGCTTAGCTCCAGGATGAGGTGCCTCGCAAGCCAGAGCAGGCAACAGCAGCCAGAACACACAGCCCGTGTGGGGCAGCTTTATACAGGATGTGTAAAGCTCTCTGCCTCCTCCCTGCATGCACACCTGTTTTTCAGCTCGGTTCTGCTGATTTGACACAGAACTTGCTGCTGATGCGGTCATCTCAGCCTGGGGAAGTGCCAGAAAAACCAAGAATGTTGGCAACCAGGGGGGGCTGAAAGGGAATCTGGGCACTGAAACCTGTGGAACACCTGGTGAATTGTTCATAAATCACGGCGTATGTGACCCACGATTCCTAATCAAGGGTAAAATCCTGCTTCACTGAATGAATGCTGCGTTTACTGAATGACTGCTGCGTTAGACACGCTTCTGATAACGATCAGGTCAATGCAGAAGTCAAGAGATGGTATGCCACTTTAAAACAAAAACTGTAAGGAATGCGCTCACACATTTTGTCTTACTTACATCTTTCCAGCTGCTGCTGTCATCTGTCTCCCAGGAGTTCCTGGCGTGCCAGGGAAGCCCTCCTTTTGAGAAGTGAGAACTTTTATTTTCATTCCCTTCCAGCAGCTGTAGCAAATGTTTGGACATTTCTTCCCGCTGCAGATAGTCATCCAGCTGCTTGATATTTTCAGGTGAGGCTGAAAATGGGATCTTGTTTTCTTCTTCATAAGCATAAGGAAAATCCCCAGTGCTCTTTTTCCCCATTAAGTGCCCTGTAAGAACAAGGACTGTGGCATGAAATTCATCCAAACAGGCAAAACATGGCTTTAAGGGTACAAACATCAGCTAGGAGTAGTGATGGTATGGAGGGAGGGGAGGGGAGGGAAAGGGAAAAGGAAGGGGAAAAGGAAAGGGAAGGGGAACGGAAGCAAGATTTTGAAACTGAAGCACAGCAGGGACTGAAGGCGCTGTCAGTGTTACACACAACTGATTTCTTACGCCGGCAGTGGGGATGTTGCTACAAACCGGAGAGAGATAACCAAGCATTTTGCCGGAAATAGGGAGCAGCACCTGATTAGAATGGTGAAACAAGTTGTGAGTGAAGAAGCTGAAAGTTTAGACTTCCCATGCCTTGATGTCGGATGTAGGAACTCGTCTCGCACAGCCACAGCCCGCCCGGCGCTCCCGGGACGGAGCGGGGAAGGAGACCCGACGGCGGCGGCGGGCGAGCAGCACGGAGCCCCCGGAGCGGCCAGCGGAGCGCGGGGGGCGGCACGGAGACTTACCCACAGCCCAGTGACTGCCGCGGGGGTAGATCTTGGTGAGCGCTGGGGAGCCGCCGGGCTGCAGCGGGGCCGCTCCGCCCTGCGCAGCCAGCAGAGCCAGCAGAGCCAGCAGCGGCAGCGCGCCGGGCCGCCGGGGGCCGCCGCCGCCCATCGTGCCGGTGCCGCTTCCCTGCCCGCGCCGCCGTCTAGCCGCACTCCGCTGCGGGCCGGCCCCAGCCCGGCTTCGCGCTCCGGCTCTGGCTGCGGCTGGGCCGAGAGCGCTGCTGACACGCCGCCTCTGACGACCCCCATTTATACGAAGCCGGGACCGGAGCTCCCGCGCCTGACGCCTCCTCACGGGGCCGGGGCTGCGGCCGCCCCCGGCCCCCCGTGCCTCCATCCTGCCTCCGGCGGGGGCGGGTGATGCCGCGGGCAGCCGGACCCCCCCGCCCTCCTCCCCGCCCCGGAGGGCTCTCGGAGGGGGGAGGCGGGGTCGGTTCCATCCCGGAGCTCAGCCCCGGCGCTGCCCCTATCCGCCGCACGTGCTCCCCGACGGCCGTCCCGGTGCCGCTCGTCCCGCTCCTCCGGGCCCTGGGGAGCCCGGTTGTCCCGGTGCCGCCGGCGCTCCGGGCTGTCCCCGTTCTCCGCGGGCAGCCGGGCCGTGGCAGCTCTCGCTCTGATGGAGACACAGCCCTACACGGCGCTCGGGGCCGTTTTCACCATTAGTTACGTTCGCGAATTAGAAACTTCCGAGGAGTGGGTTTTCCCCTCGGGTACATCCGGCGGGCTCGGGTCGGTCTGCGCGGGGCAGCAGCGGCGGGGGGGGCTTTGCCGCAGGGACCCGGAATGGGACACGGGGGTCAGGGGACATAAGCGAGGGGATGTCCATGGCACGGTGCGGTTTTACCGTCGGCCGTGCAGGTTCTCATGTCTGTGTCCTAATTTACGTGCTAAAGCAAAGTGCCGTCAATACGGCTTGGGGCAGGGAGCCGGGTGACATCTCCGCTGCAGGAACTCCTTTTTGGAAGAAGTTAAAAACAAAAATGTCTTATCTTCTTTACAGAAAGCACAAGTGTTCACAGAAGCAGTTTGCCTCTCTGGATGGGAATGCCTGAACAGGCTGAGAAGTTTTTGCAAGAGCTTAAGGGGGAAAAAAGTTGCTCCCGCACTTCTGAGGTGGAGAGATCACTAGAAAACGAGCAAACTCAAAGGACAACATGACTTCAAGCTCTGAGGCAGTTTCTTTTAATTTCCAGTTATCACCTGAAGTTGCTGTTGCAGGTATTTGCAAATACAACTCGGGTTTGCAGCACTTTCTCCTTGTGGTGTTCCAGCACTTCAGGGCACCCAGAGCTGGCCAGCTGTATTGATGAATGGAAAGCTGTTCCTCACTGGCACAGGTTGCCCAAGGAGGCTGTGGATGCCCCATCCCTGCAGGCATTCAAGGCCAGGCTGGATGTGGCTCTGGGCAGCCTGGGCTGCTGGTTGGCGACCTGCACACAGCAGGGGGTTGGAACTGATGAGCGTTGTGCTCCTTTGCAACCCAGGCCATTCCGTGAGTCTATGATTCTGTGATTTCCACCCTGCTGAGAGCAAGGAGGAGAAGTGGGTGAGTCCCTGAAGTGGATGACAGAGGGCTGTAAAGGCCACCAAGAGCTGGAACACAAACGTGTGCTCCTCAAAGCGGCCTCAGTGGAGTGAAGGTGGATGCGTGGCAGAAGGATGTGCAGCCCTGACGTGCTGCTTGCCCCCAAGGGGAACGGGCAGAGGGGTGAAGTCGCATGGAATTGGTTGATGTGACAGTTCTGTGTCTGGAGAGACACGTCACGGTGTCAGAGATGCTGTTAACAGAGCTGGCTGCGAGGGATAGCCAGGTCCTTCAGCTGACCCCACAGAGCTGCACCCACAGTGCTTCCTGCTGGAAGCTACCAGGGATGTAAAGTAACGTAATTACTGGGCGGATTATCCAGCTCAAGCACTCCTGAAGTCAGTTGTGTACCCTCCTGCATGAGCCAAATTGTTCCCTTGTTTAATCTCAGTTTATTGCGTCTCCTTTTATTGCTTCGTGTGATTCACTCTTTCATTTTTGTTATTCATTATGCGTTCTTGTTTAATTTACAATGGCATTTTCATGCCTCAGTCAGGAGTTTCAGTGCGCGGCGTCGCTACGGAAGACACATGCTCTGTGCTGAGTGACAGCGTCGCCGTCCGTGGGACATCCCAATTGCTCATCACCATTCAAGCCAGGAAATGGAAAACTCAGGAAAAAAAATGTGCATTTTCAGATAAACAGCAACACCAAAGCAGAATGTTTGGCTTTCCTCAGCCACAGTGGCTGCGCCTTTCTCAGATTTTGCCTGTGCATGACATGTCTGCGTCCATCCCACCTGATGAAGGATGCTCTCTCATGTTGGATCTCATCTCACACTGCCTCGGGTTGCTCTGCTTGGAGGCTGCTTCTGGAGCACTTCCATTTTTGTATCTTCTCTCTTCGTCTTAATTTGTTTCCCTGCAGGTTACCATTGCAATTATGGTGAGAAGTAACAGTCTGCAGGGGGGGGATCAAAGTAGGGCTTGAGGTGATTATTATTTTTTTAATATATTTTTTATTTTTTAATTAACATTGGCTTTTTGAATCCTTTTTTTTTGGGAGGGGTGGAGGTGGGAGAAACGCGTTTCGGAGCATCGTCATGAAGCAAATACAGAAATCTGTTGAAGTCCCTCAGGCATTCAGCTGAGTCATTTGAAGCAAGCCACCAATAGAAACTCCACTTGAGGGATTTTTGAAAGAGAAAACCAATGATTAGCCAAAATGGAAGCAGCTCTGAAGGCCTGTCTGCCTTTTCTTAGGCTTACCTTTGCTCTTATGCTGACAGTCATCCTGAAAGTCAGTGAGAACACGTGCTCAGAGGAGGAAACTGAGTCCTATGGGGTGCCTTCTGCCCTAAAGAAGGAACCCGGTAACGGCTACAAGTATGCAAGCTTCAAGGAACAGCTCTCCTTGTTTGAAGACCCCTTTTTGCTCATCATGTATCTGTCCACGTGTCAAAGTAAGTGACTGTGTGGAAAAGCATGGCTGCGTTTTAATGCTGCTCTCACAGCACTGCTGTTTATTTTGCTTCCTTCACATTTCAGGCAAACGCGGTCCGTCAGCGAGTCGGATTTTATGGAAATAAAAGGGGGTGAAAGAAAAACACTGCGCCTCTCACCGCCTTTTGTAGCAGTTCTGACGTTGCAGATAGCTCCGATGTGTGCACAGAGCAAACAGGGGTTTAAGTGCATCAGCAATGTAATAAGGGAGCGATCACCGGGGAGCGCTCTGCAAATGTTGGAGATGCTGAATGGTGCAGAGCGGGGCGGGGGGCAGCGCTGTGCAAACAGCCAGACCACAAAGCCATAGAATCTTCATGGGAAGGGACCCCTGAAGGCCATCAGGTCGCACTCCCTGCAGTGCACAGGGACACCCGCAGCTCCAGCAGTGCTCAGAGCCCATCCAGCCCGACCTCGGCTGTCTGCAGGGATGGGGCAGCACCAGCCTCTCTGCTCTTATTGTAAAGAGCTCCGTCCTGTTGATGTTCTTGTGCAAGGAGCTTGGCAGAAGTGAACAACAGGAAGTGATGTGCATTTGTTTAATGAGGCGGAGTTTAAGAAATTCGGCACTGTTTGTGCTGCTGAAGGCTTGAACTGTAGGCCTTGAACCAACGTGGACTTCTGGATGAATCTCACAACCCCTTATGCATCATCAGTATCCAATCATTAACCAAATGGATACGACCATTAGCAAAATACATATCTTGGATAAGGTGCCTCGTTAGCAAGAGATGTAGCTTACATGAAGCATTATGAAAATGTGTGGACCTTTCCTTGTTCAGAAGCATGGTGTCAAGGCTCACTAATACACAGACTCCATGGTTCCTCCTTGAGCCTTGGCCAGGCTGGAAGTGGAATCCAAAGAGGGAGAATTAAACCAGATGTTTCCATGCTTGAAGGTATGTAAGCTTGTCTGTTCAAAGGTAGAAAAGCTGGACTCTCCAGTAGTGAAGCTGGAGATCTCACCTGCCAGGACCTCCCAGCTCCCAGGAAGCAAACCCTCACTGCAACTGGGGCATCCAGTGGATGCAGGTCTGGATGATAGCAAAATATTGGGGCAATTGGTGATGTGTCTTTCCTAATCACTGTAGTTAATCCTAAGTAGTAAGATTAGGGGCATTGCCTTGTTCTGTGCTATTCTTGCTCTATCATTTCATTTATTACCTCCTTTCTTTGAATGCAAGTGAAAATGAACTCACTATGTTAACTTGGTGTCTTGGGGATGGGGCTGACATCGCAGTCTGAGCTGCTTCTATAGAACTTCCTCAGCTGTGGCTGAGTTAGCAGAGCACCCAGCAGGTGACTCATCTGCTGGCTTGCATCTTAGTTTGGCTTAGTTTAGCTTGGCATCTTAGTTTGCAGGCTAAACCTGTGAGAAACAAGCTCAGAGGAAATAGGAAACTACGCTTTGTTTCCCAGTGCCAACTTCCTTCCATGTATAGCTGCAGGTGCTGAGAAGCTAAAATGGAGGAAACTTCATTGCAGGAGGCTGGATTGCTACTAGGCAGTGAGCAGAGGTGATAGGAGGGGCAGAGCCAGGAAGCCCCAGGGCTGTCAATGGCCCCAGGGCTCCAGCCACAACACACAGCAGCTGCAAAAAGGAGATGTTCCTTGGAAGCAGGAGCCAATGCAGCTCCTTGGGCCATGCTGCAGCTGCTGGCGTTGGCATGCAGGCATCCCACTCCCCAAACACAGTTTCCAGTTCAGCTGATGTGACCTTCACTGTCCTGCTGTCCTAACATCACCACGAATGGAATGGAGCTTTGTCTGTAGCAGCTTTGTTTGCTCAATTTGGATCCAGATGTATGTTCAGTTTTCAAATGGCTTCAGAATGGGGATGCTGCCCCCATCCACATCGGATTTTCATATGCCTGCAGATGACACACGCACCCCATAAAGGCTTTCAGTTTTTGCTGATAGCATCGCTACACATGGATGATAGAGAAGCAGAGTTGGTTCTGTACGAAAGCAAGGTGCTGGAGCATGAAAACGGTGACAAAAGAGGTGGAACAGACTGAATCAAGCCAAGCTATAGAGCAGGGAAACATTTAACTTTTCATCCTTTACATTTTGTTTGCTTTGGGCCCACGAGATGTCCAAACACTGATAGAACCCACACAGGCAGGCAAAGGACATGGCTGTTTTCATCACTGTTGGTCACTATCTTGATTAAACACAGAGAGAAAGGGCTGGGCTGGTCCTGTGGGCACCCCGTCTCCTCCTGGTGGGACTGACAGCCACCGCAGGACAGGCGTACAGCAGTCTGTGGGCGCTTCTGCTTTCTCTCCCTTTTGCCTTTCAAAGCACCCTCAGCTGCGGGCTTGGGGCTCTTGAGTGAGTAAGAAAAGACAGTGAGAGCAATGTGTGATGAGCAGAAAAGGCAGAGAGAAGTCTGAACCACCTCTTTGGCGCTGTGAAGAGCTGAGTACTGGAAGGATTTCTCCGTGGGTTTATACCAGTGCTGTCAGCAGCACTGGTGTCAGAAAAGCGAGGCTGTTGGCGCTGTGCAAAGCATCCCTTCTGCAAAAGGCATGTGCTGCATCATTTGCATTTTTTTTCTCTGAGAAAAAGAGACGTGAT